AGTCCGAAAGCAAATAGGCTGGTTTCACACGGTCTATAGACACAGTAGATTTCAGACCGTTAATATCAATTGGGAAAGTTTTGTCCGTTCTAGAAAGAACTTTATGCGGACCTGTATATGGTTGGCACAGAGGTGGCTTTACTCGATCGACACGTAAGTATACATGCGTACACGACTTTAAGGTAGCACTTACGTAACATTTTTCTTGGCAATGTGCAGATGTTGCTATTGGATTCAATTGTTGCATTCTATGCCGAAGATTCGTGATAAATTGTGTGTCATACGGAGATATCTTAGATGACGTTATCATATCACTAGGCAGCTTGAGAGTTGTGCCGTACACCAGTTCAGCACAAGATGACTGTAGATCTTCCTTTACGGCTGTCCGAATACCAAGCATAACAACTGGTAGTGTTTCAGTCCAGTTATTGGTCTCGTGAGCCTTGAGAGAAGATTTTAAATGTCGATGAAATCGTTCAACAATGCCGTTGGACATTGGATGATAGGCTGTTGTTGTGATTCTGTTGGTACCCAAAATGCGCGTGAATTCTGCAAAAGTGCGGATCTCATTTGAGAACCTTGGTCTGTTGTTATGATCGATGGGCAGCCAAAACGAGATATCCAACAGTTTGAAGATGGCTCTGCAAATGGTTTCCGTTTTCATATCCGGGATGGGAATGGCTTCAGGCCATCTGGAGAATCTATCTATTAGAGTCAAAAGGTACACATTGCCTTCTGATGGAGGTAACGGTCCGACGATATCCATATGGATTTCTGAAAAACGTGCATCAGGAAGAGAGAATGTGCCCAGTGGTGCTTTAGTATGCCTAGTAATTTTCGATTTTTGGCAAGATTCACAGGATTTCACCCAATTTTTGATATGACGTTTCATATCGGGCCATACATAACGAGAACAAATAAGCTTCGTAGTAGCTGCAATTCCTGGATGTGACAGATTATGCAGATGATTAAAGATGAGTCTGCGAAAGGAATTCGGAACAAATGGACGAGGAATGTCTGTTGATATGTCACAAAGAATATTACCATCAGAATATTGGCACGGTTTAAATTCCAGTTTCAAAGATGATGTGTTGTTTTTGAGAAGGTCTTGTACCTCCGGATCATGCCGTTGAGCTTCCGAAAATTTTTTAAAATCCAAAATGGAGATTTTGTTATGGAATCAATTTCGATTCTTGAAAGAGCGTCAGCAACGACATTTTTTTGAACCTTGCACATGCCTAATATCAGTAGAGTACTGAGAAATAAAATCTAAATGGTCGCAATTGTCGAGGTGAACATTTATGAGGGTTCTGTTTAAAAGCGTATATTAACGGTTTTTGATCCGTATAAATTATAAAATTTCTGCCCTCTAACATGTGTCGGAATTTCTTAATTGCAGAATAAATTGAAAATAATTCCCTATTCGTACGCGATTACCATTTCTGTTGACTTTTATTGAGTTTCATAGAGAAAAATGCTATAGGTTCCCATGTTTGTTGAGACAACTGCATAAGTGTGCCGCCGATTGCGACGTCTGAGGCATCTACCCAGATGCTTAGCTGGGCTCCGGGAATAGGGTGTCTCAAAAGGGTAGCCTGAGCAATGGCATTTTTGGCAGCAATAAAGGCTTGTTCAGCATTCTCGTTCCAATTTTAATTGTGGGGATGAATCCTGAACACGAGAACGAGATTTCTTTTTATTCATATAGCCTTCTAACAATTTTATTAAGGAGAAAGAATATGTGCTGCTTTAGGTATGAAACATCTATAAAAGTTAAACATGCCTAAAAATCGGCGAAGCTGAGTGAGAGTGGTAGGTTGAGGAAAATCTAAAATACATTTGACTTTGTCAGGAAGAGGTTCAATTCCGTTTTCACTAAGGTGAAAACCTAAGAAATCAATAGATGTTTGACCAAAGGTGCATTTTGAAACATTTATGCAAAGTCCATATTCCTGAAGTTTGGAAAATAAAGCTTTCAAATGCCTGCAATGTTCCTCAGAATCTTTAGAGGCTATGAGCAAGTCATCGACAAAAGCGTAAACGACCTTCTAAATCCCGCGTGACTTCATCTATAAACGTTGAAAAGTCGCAGATGCATTGCATAAGCCGAATTGCATACGGATACTTTCGAATAAACCGAATGGTGTGCATATGGGGCGGTTTTGTGGATGTCGGCTGGGTTAATTGGTATTTGATGGTATGCCTTAATCAGGTCGACATGACTAAAAATTTTAGTACCGTGCAATGCAGCAGTTAAAATCGGCTAAGCATGGAATAGGGTATTTGTCTTTTATGTTTGAGCGTTCAATGCTCGATAATCTCCTACAGGTCTCCATTCCAGACTTCCCTTTTTTGGAACCATGTGAAGTGGGGATGCATAATTGCTGCTCGAAGGTCTCAAATGCCCCAATTGCATCATAGTTTGAAATTCTTGTTTTGCTATTTTTAAGCGATCTGGAGCTAACCGACGACGAGGTTTTGCAACCACAGGTGGACCTTTAGTTATGATATAATGAACGGTGTTATGTTTAACAGGTTGGTTAGGATCTGGGTAATCTAGTAACTGAAGGAAATTCTTTTAAAATTTTGTGATATGGTGTATCACTAAATACAGTTTTTACTGAATAAATGCTTGCATTTTTCACGCAACCGACGGTTTTTAAAATGCGTTTTTAAATCTTTGAGACATTTGTTTCTGAGATCAGGCACCAATTCAAAGAAATGGAGAAAATCTGCTCCAAGAATGGGTGTACTAACATTTGCTATAAGAAAAGTCCATGTAAACTGTCGTCTTAATTTGAAATCCAAAGAAAGTGTTTTTTGACCAAAACATGAATAGTAGAAGAATTAGCAGCGAAAAGTGTTTGTTGGGACGAATTCCGTTTTGAGAATTATTTGCTGGAAGTAAGGACACGTCAGAGCCGGTATCGACCAAGAATGAAAGGTTTGTTCTACGGTCACGAACGAACAGGCGACGTGAAACTTGAGGCAAAGAATAAGTCGCCTCTATTCTTTGCTGGTTTTCGTTCCCTGCCATGAACAAGGTTTTGTACATTTGTCATCTCTACACTTTTTCCCAAAACGTCTATGATACCAGCAAACAGAATAATCTCTCCTTTTTGGAATTGCTTCTTTCCTTATTGCGATCTCCGCGATTTGGCGAGCGACCACGAGAAAGAGAAATGCGATCAATACGTTTGTTTAATTTTTCTATTTGTTTAAATAATTTATCCTCAAGAGACTGATCGACTGTGCGAGAAACGGCACAAGTCCCTGGGGTTGGATTTACTTCTAAAATTCTGTCGGCAATTTCTGCAGCTTTATCTACAGTTAAATTGGAAACCGCTGCCAAAATAGACTGAACATTCGAAGGCAAACGTTGAAGGAATAATTCTAACATTAAGTTATCAGGAACATTTAAAGATTCTGCTTCGACGTTTCATATTTCTAAGCAAATCGGATAGGTTTTCGAGAACCTAATTCTCTTCTCCAGATAATAATTGGCGAATTTCTTGCTGAGAAGATTCTCCTGAACGATTTATTAACTCAGTTTTAAGCTTTGTATATGGATCAATAGGATCTGGTTTCCAAGTAAATCCCGTACTATTGATGCTATATCTGGAGGAAGATGAGCAACTACATAATTATATTTAGTAATGGATTTCTGTGATAGGTTTGGGGGTGGCAAGAGCAAAGGTACTTTCACACATAATAACCATAAAGATGGGTCTGATCGGTTATAAACCGGAATTTGGACGGCATAAACATCAGACATTGTGCAAGGTTTTTAAGGCCAAAATAAAAGCAAATTTAACTAAAGAAAATTGAAATTAAATGATAAGTAGAAAACAGTAATTATAAAATGATCTATAATTACTACTCATCTGTGATTCGGAGGATGAAAACCGATGTAATCCATTACTTCTGGTTTGGAGATCTTGAGTGATGGCTTGTAGTCAAAACCGAAAGTGCTTGAGAACTAACTGTTCATACGATTTAACACAGTCCGGGTTACCATTATGGAAATTTCCTGTTATGTTTTTACCACCAATCCTCGAATTCCATATCACAGATTATGTTCTTACTGCATTAAAATAAATATTAACAAGACATAGTGCACAATAAAAATTAAACTTTATTTAGGAACTTCGCGCACACTGCCCGACAGCCTGCCTGTTTCGCTCTGCTCGCTACTCGTAAGAAATTTCTCCTCTAGGGTTGCCACACTTATCGGAGGGCGCAAGGCGCGCTCCTTATCGCCATCACCACAGAACATTTAACCTCATTTTGTAAACAATGTTCAAAAAATTGTAAGTAAATAATTTTTCCTCACCTTATTTTCCTATTTTGTCTAAAAGAAGTATAACTTGGTTTTACATTTAATTTCTTTTAAAAAACCGATTAATTTTTTCGGCAAATTTTTATTTACAATTTTTTTATTCGGGTATGACATACTCGGCGCGTGTTCTCGTGTTCATGGGATCGGTGCGTGTGCTCGCGGGTTAAATGCAGGTCTGCATCAGCCGATTCAAAAAGCTGTGTCACTCAGCATTAGAAAAGCTTGTGTATGTTGCATTTAATGATTTTTTGCATATAAGCCTTATCAACAACTTCAAAACAAAAAGTGAATTTTATCTGTTTAATTTTAAAATGATACTTTAAATGGTGTCTTCATTATTTGAACAGGCTAAATATTATGTAGCTATATTTTATGATTATATGTGAATATTTTGCTGAGTTCAGGATTTAACCTTTTTATATTTATGTCATGGTTTATAAATAATATGCTGTAATTTAAAGATAATGCATGTGATTTTTTTGGCATTAAAACTTTTCCTGAATTATTGGAAAGTACTTAAATTATGTGCTTCTTAATATCCTCTCAAATGATAAGCTGTTAACAGTTTTGCATCTTATTTAAAATGAGCAATATGCATAACATTTGATTTATAACCTTACTTATAAACTACACCGTACTAATGATTTAACTCTTTAACCAGAGATCAACAAAGTTCGAAACAATTTGTTCCAAGTTAATGGGTGCAAGAAAGAGCCTTTGATTCTGCCAGATGCCGATGGACCCATCATAGCACGGTCCGAGAAAGTATATGTGCCAGTGAAAGATCATCCAGATGTAAGTCTGTGCCTGCACTGCTTTTCATCCTATCCCCTCCTTGCAAATAATTGTAATAGCAATTACATTAATTGATAATTTTGTGTGGGTTACCACTAATTTTATAGGCTGTAATTGGTTTCTGAAGAATAATTATTTCATTATGAATGTACATGTTATAAAAACTTGTAGATATTTTTATATTAGATCTGAAATATATAGAACTTACAAATATTGAGATTAACTAAATTCACCGATTTTAAGATGCAACATTTTGTGCAGATATAAACAAAATTTGAAAACTATTTTCAAAATTTTATTTCAACAAAATTGGTATATATATTTGGTCCATATAGTTTGACATGAAAATTAAAAGAAAAACACACACTGAACTTTTTTTACGATAAAAGTACAGTTATAATTAATTATAGTTGATTTTATGTTAAAATTATTATAATTGTATAAAATGTAAGCATTTTAATAAAAATATAAATGTCATTAATATTTAAATGTAATTTGAAAATTTCTCTTGTATGAAATTTGCTTAAGATCTTTTGACATATTCTGAAATATTCATCAGTAAAACATTCACAGTTATTCTTAACACGTTGACTGCCGTGGAGGTCACCGGTGACAGCACTTGACTTGGCTACAGCACTGTGGCTGCCACCAGTGACTCTAATTATCTAAAATACATAATTAGAGTAAATATCGATACTGGTAAATTTTTAAGTAGTACCATTGTTACTATAATGGTTTGAAAAATAATAAATCGTAAAAATTTAAATTATAAATCGCAATAATGATCTACAACACCGTGGGGGGTCACCGGTAACTCCCACCACGAAAAATGCATTAAGCATGATTATATAACTCACATTGTCTTCTGTTGATAAATATTTCAACGTAATATACATTGCATAATAAAAATTTCAAGTTGGCGTCATGGGCAAACCACGTCAAATGCATGCTGCAGTCAACGGGGTTAAAGAAGGCTATCTCTCTAAGACAAAAATGCTAACTATTTTAAAGTTAGCTTGTGTTCAGTCATGCTGAAAAATTAGCTTTGTTCGATATATGAAATCTTGAATATTTGACAAAAACATATTAAATGCAAATATATTTTAAATACATGTATGAATTATTTGTCAAAAGACTTTATGGTATTTGTAGAATTTTTTATTTTTGCTTTTTTCAAATGTAACTAGAAAATAAACCACTTAGTTTGCGATACCTCAGAAAAAAGGTTATTACAAATATCTTATGCATTGCATAAAAATTTATATGAATAAATGTCATACATTTTTAGGTCTTTAGTAGGATATGTACATAATTTACACTAAGTTGCAACAGATTGAATTACACCATTAAAAATTGTATGGAATGTTTGCAAATTTTTGTAACACTTATATGAAAATGAATTGGCACGAGAACTTTGAAAATCATTTAAATTTTTGGTTTTTTTAGCACTGTAAAAGTACATTGCTTAAAAAGTATTATCTAGCAGGTATATGGCTATATAAAGGCTTCCATTTTCTTTATTGATACTGAAATCTGAGGCTCTTGATGTGTATATCGATTTCGGAATATTTTTAAAGTCGATCTTGCTTTTGCTTTAAAAAATGCATCAGAGGTCTTACTAATGTAAATAAGCACTTCTAGTAACCGACTTCCATTTGAATGCATGTGTAACCTGAATAATTACATAATTTTTATTTAATCATATAGAATATGTTGTTTCATTTTGAATACTATGGTAAGAATTCTGTGTTTGATTTTTTTTTTAACATTGTTTGCAGTACAACTTTGTGGGAAGAATTCTTGGCCCTCGAGGCATGACAGCCAAACAACTTGAGCAAGAAACAGGCTGCAAAATTATGGTCAGAGGAAAGGGTTCTATGAGGGATAAAAAGAAGGTAATTTAAATTTGATATGAAATTAGTAATGTACTAATAGCTTGTATTTTGCAAGACATTATTTATTAATAGCTTATATTTTTCATACAAAAAAAAAAAAAAAAAAAAAAAAAAAAAAAAAAATGAACAGTGTAAATTGTTCTATTTCAGAAGTCAAACAACAAAAGTCAGCGTTTTGTAAATATAATGCTGATTTTTGTTGTTTTTTGACTTCTGAAATAGAACAGTGTTTTGTGTTGTGTTTTTGGAAATACTGAAAAATTATTAGCAACATTTCAAACATTTGTTTACGTCTTCTATAAAGCAAGATGTCATAATGAGAGAAGGATATACTATTATTCTGTTTGTACTTAAGGTAGAAATGACTTTAATTTCAACACTGATGTATGTTCAAATTGGAGAAGGCAAAATTACGTTAGTCTGGTATGTATATCATCTGTCTTACTGTATTGAGTAGACATTTAGCATTATCACCACTCTAGGAGTTGAACAGAAGTGGGAAAACATAATTTAAAATGATTCTTATTCTATTGCTTAAGCCAGTCAGATGTGAATAAAAACATATCATTTACCTAAAACATTATATCCTTATTCAAAATATCTTGTTCTTCAAATATGACCTTGGCCTCCCTCTCTATTCTCATTACTGATTTATTCATATGTGATTGCTGTTGTATGTTCCAAGATCAATAAAACTCTTTTCAGTTTGTTCAACTCCTAAGGTAGTTTGATTCTTGGTGGGTAAATTTACATTTTATAATGTACTAGCAACCAGAATCGTTTTTATTAGCAGTTATTGCATTTTAATCCTCTGACTGCTCAATTTGTGGACTGAAAATCACTTCAAATTTGTGCTTTTTTTGGGGGGGGCCATATTTTAAATCTATATATATTGGAGAATTGAAAAATGCATTTTTCCTTTCTAGAAAAAATTTTCTTAGAGATTTTTATCATGAGAAACTAAGTTGCCAGAAAAACCAATTTCAGATGTTATCACCGCAAAAACTTTTTTAAAAATTGATTTCAGTCGAATTACAGTTAATTTCTATTTATTGCATACTATAAAAAAGTAAAATATTTAAGAAAATATAAAGCACTGAGGAAAAAATACCTTAGAAATACAGTTTAGTATGATAGAGTTCAAAACAGGGTTCAAGGCAAAGTCAAACTTCACAGTCTTTGCACCAGATTCAATAAATCTAATTAATAATTCAATAATTTAATTAAATAATGAAGATAATCGCTGAATGTTTTCTAGCAGCGATTTCTGTAAGGAAAAAGCGCAAAAAGTGGAGTTTGGGCAGTAGTACCACGTGCCTTCAAATGCCGCAATTTAGTGGACAACTAACTATATCTGTTGGCCAAAATGTAAACTAAACGTCTAATAATGTATATAATTTATTTCTGTGTTTAAATGAGGAAAAAATGGGATGTGCTCCTCAATAAAGAAAGAAAAACATATGCCCGCAGAAATCGCGGGATTGAGCAACCAGAGGGTTAAAGGAAAAGGTTAATTTGTTCTCATTTGTTTAATTGAGGAAATTGAGTTATCAGTTTGACAATTTCTTGCATTTCATCTAAATTGAAGATGCTTTACCATTTTGATTTAAGAAAAAGGTCAAAAATTTTATTTACTATTTATCACTGGGAGATTTTGGAACATACTCAGAATATGAGAAATGTTCTTTTCTAGTACTGTAATGTTAGAAGTGAAACATGACTCTAATGTGATCTTGTCACTTTGACTTTTGAAATAAGATATTTCTAGAAACCTGCGCTAAAACAATTAAGGGCTGCAAGATAGGTTCGTTATTTAAAAAAAAAAAAAAAAAAAATTGAGAGAATTTACAAAATTTGATTTAAAAAAAAAGTTAAAAGAACGTCATTAGATTAAGATTTTAAAAGTTGTTGATATTTTTTGTGAAATATGTACAAACCTATTGCTGAAAATTCTTTTAGACATTGCAGAAGCTATACTTTTGAAACTGATTCATATTTGACGCTTAATGTATGAAGCTATCTTTTTGTAAAGCTACTAAGTGCTTATCAAGAAATTGCAGCTGGATTGTGTTAATGGAAGTAATATTTTTTCAACATTGCTGAATTCTGAATTAAATAGACACCTAGATACTGTTTGTTGTTTGTACCCTGCATTAAAAAAATAATCAAAATTTAACTCTTAATTTGGGAATTTAACTCTTAATGTCATTTTAAATATGCAGGTGATCATAAATCAATTCTTTTATCGTGTGCATATTTTAAATTGTGCTATTATTTCTAATGGTTATAGCTTTCATTAACTTTTTTAATCGTAATTGTGGGTATGAAACTTTGTCTCAGTTTAATTTTTATGCAAAATAAAATTGATTCAATATATTAAAGTACTTGAAATCTGTTGCTATGATTCTTGAACTTTGAGTGTTAAATAATGTATTTTTATGTCAGTTTGTGCTTTTATATTAGAAACTAATTTTGGACTAATATTAAATTTTTAATGCATTCAGATGATAATGATGTAAGTAAATATTTCTTTCATTAGATAAAAAGTTACTGAAAATTTATCTAGCCCTAATTTTGAATTTAGATTTCTTATATTATTTATATTTTTCAGGAAGAGCAAAATAGAGGAAAACCAAATTGGGAGCATTTGAATGATGAACTTCATGTTCTGATTACTGTTGAGGATACTAGTAATAGAGCTGCTGTAAAATTACAGAGAGCAGTTGAAGAAATAAAGAAGCTTCTTATTCCAGTTGTGAGTTACATGGTTGCATATTTGACAAACTAAATAAGACCCTGTACTCTTATTTGAAGTTTTAAATAATTTGTTGCATACTTTATTATCAGCTCACTATATAAATTTTTTGGGGGGGATGGGGTTTGTCTGTGATGTTCCATTATAGAAATGATGTTTGGATGGAGTAATAACCGAGCCTTACAAAATTATTTTCTCAAAGATACTTACTTGTATGCTTTGTTTATCTGTTTCTTTGGTGAAATTGCTTATTTCCAGGAATTCTATATTAATAGACATGTCTTAAATTGCAGAATTTATGTAAATGTTTCATAATTAGACTCTAAAGTCACTAATTTAAACTGTTAAGTTTTTGTGCAGGAATGTACTAATTTACTAAAATTTAATCAGTCCCTCCCTCCACATGCTTATATTTTGTTTGCAGGCTTAATTTTAAAAAATTCATTCCTACTCAATTTAATCTGTATAAAAATTAAAACTTTTTCACATAAGTTGAAAAATGTTTTTTCTTACCTTATGAGGTTAGAATAATAAGATACTCTTTTTTAAAATTTGGAGATGGAAATCAATTTAGTACCTATTTTTCATTCACTACTTATTATGGCACTGTCTGTTCATTTTGCTAATATTTCTCAGCCTGAAAAAATTATTAAATGCTACATTATTAAATATATTAGGTTTAAAAAGTATGTATATAGTATTGACAATACTTCACAACCTGAAAAAGTTAATTAAATGCTACAATATTAAAGCTATGAAGTTTGAAAAGTATGTAGGTATGAATTATAGTATGCTAATATTACTTATTACCGAACTGATACACAAAGTTTGTGTCCTGTTCACGTAATTAAGTAGACAAGTATGGTTGAATTCTACAGATTTTGTTCTGATTTATTTTGAGGTTTTACCTCTTTATGTTCTGGACATTTCCTTCAATTATTATCTTCCATTTCCATATGTGAATAAAAAAAATTAGAACTTTCCTTGAATAAACTTTACCTATTTTGAATTCCTTCTGTCAGTATTAGCAAAAGATTTTCCATGTTACTAAGTCTTATTCATTTTGACATTAGGTGCTGTGCATCATTTTCATGAGAAAATGTTTTGAATCATTATTTTGATACATTTATGTTAGCAGTTGAATGCAGTCTTCAATGTTATTGATAAAGTGAAACTTGTTTCTATATTGTTTGCTGTATTAAAATTAGAACGTAAAATGCTTTAATTATTTTTCCTCTTTCAATTTCAACATTAGGAAACATGAATTTCATTTAATTAATTTAAGAAAAGTACTACTTTCTTTATGTTATAACGTGTGAAGAACTGCAGATATTGAAAACATAGCCAAGCGTTTATATGTTACTGATGCATTTGCATGAGTTATTAGTTTACCTTGGAATATAACCTTGTGCATTTATTTTAAAGACATTAGATGAGTGCTGAAGGGCTCTGGTGGTATTAATTATGCTCTTGGTTTGATTCCTGATTGCATTATAGGCTAAATTCTTAGTTAAAAAAAAAGTTTAGCAGTGTTTTTGAATTAAAAGTACAAATGTTTTTACAATGTTCCCGCCTTAATTTTCTGGAAGGAATATAAGGACATATTGAGTCAATATCTAGCTTCTTTTTCAATTTCTGAGGATAATCTTATGAAAAATGCATGTATATGTGTGTACACTTTTGTGATTCTGTAGCAATGTAATCTGTTTTAAATAATGCAATTATTTTTTTTAAATATGGCTGCTGAATGCATATAAAACATGGTGCATAGTTCCACAGCACTTCACACAAGCATGTATTTTATGCAACTAACATTTTAAAAATTGTATAATTTTTATGAGTTTTATAAGGACTTCAAAAGATTTCAAGATTTAAAACCACATTATTGTAAATGGTATGCAGGAGAAAGTGGAAAATTCTTGTAAACTGCAAACATTTTTTTTAATACATGTTTTGAGTCTTGTAGATTATTGTGATTGATTGCGTTTTACTGGGGTGTACTATATTAGTCACCAATTAATTGAAATTAGATGGCAACACCACGGAATGACGTTTGCATTTGAATTTTCTTTATTGCTTGAATTCTTTAAACTAACTTTTTATTTTAATTATAGTCCAAACACCTTTGTTTGAATAAATATCTAGCTGTTGGGATTACGACAAAAATTTTTGAATTTTTAAACGAAAGCATCTGTTCATGCTCGATGCATATCCTGAAATATGTAAGCATTATTTTCAAATGTGTTAATAGCTGAATGAAGCATTTTTCTATCAAATTCTTTAATATATAATTTCTTCTATGATGTGAAGTTAAATCCAACTCCCATATGCCGAAATAACCCCATATTGCAACTGCAGTAGGATGTTTACTATTGCTGTAGTACAATATGATTTAAATCTTTCTATATTTGAATTGCATACAAATGTAGCCCATTCATTGATTTTCAAAGAAAGATTTCATCATTCTACATAACTGTATATCCCACAGTAATCCTGCATAATAATCATACAGCTGTTCAGCTAGTATAGTGGTTAGGATGCTAACTGCAATATTGATGAACCTGGTTTCAAATCCTGGAAAAGGCATGGATTTTTGTAAGTGTTTAGTGTCTTTGTGCCAAGGGTAGCACTTAAAATGCAGGGCAAATTAAGTGAGTTTGAGTGCCAAAGGGGCAATGCAAAACTTTTAAGTCTTCTCAAGGTTAGTGGTTGGGAGAAGGGGTGGGAGATACTTATACTGTCCTTTGGGTGTTTTTCCTCAAAACTAACGTGAAAGTTTAACAGTTAACAAGGCCTGGCTGCATGATAATGTTCTTTCTATATTCACTCTCAAGTCCTTGTTTTTCATTGTTATTGATAAAGTGAAATTTATGAAAAATATGAAAAATTTCTTCACAGGCTTTTGACCTCTTAAGCCATTTTCATTTAATCTTTGATTTACAGTCCACCTAAAAATATTAACTGAACAGCTTAAGTGCCACTTAATAAGTTTTTCATAACTATCAAAATAATCTTTTAAAAGTAAATAAATGGGACTGTGCAATTATTTGCATCGTATTCTTCCTTGGCCTTATCTTCAGATGCCGATCTTCCAAATTTCTAGTTAAATTTGAAATTATTAATGCAGCTACTAACTTTCTGAAGTTATGACAGCTAGATTTAATAGCTCTTTCATGGTTAACTATTCCTTAATTACACAGTGCAATAATATTAGCATGCTTAATTATTTTGTTTGCAAATGGGTACTCTTTAAATAGCATGAACAAAATTTTAAATTGCATCATATTTAAATTCTTAATATCGCACTTTAAAGCATTCTTTTGTCCACAAAATCTGGGAGTTTTCTAATTTGTTAATTGTACTTTTTATAAGCCATTATTTGTTCTATAATAATTCTTTCATAATGTTAATTTGGTATGACATTTATTTTGATAAATTTTTGCATTTATATGCTTGGAATACATGTTTTCAAGAGGTGTTGCAGAACTTTTGCACCAAGCTATACTTCGTGCCCATTTTAGAGAATATAACTTAAGGATGTATAGATGTGCCTGTTTGTTCAAAGCTTTGAATTAATCTTTCAGTTAAGTTTTCTTTTTCCAGTAAGAATTATTGCAGGCATTCTGTGGAAGAATGAACAAAAGTTAGCAAGCTTAGGAACCAAAAATGATCTGTGTAATGTCTACATTTGGTATTCTGCATTGCATTTTTGGGTAAAAAGTGTAGGCATAAAACATCCATACACAATGTTTGTTAACATGATTTATGGTGATTTTGAAAGAAGAAATGTAGTGCATGTAACACATTTATTGTAACTAAAATATATATTTGTAAGTTAAAATTCACTGTTAAATAATAAATACACTTAAAAAAAAAAAAAAGCTTTTTGCACATTGATGTTGAATTTTGATTCATGAAAGTGTTAAAACTACTGAAGTTAAAGAATTTTATTTTAAATTCGGTTGTGATAAAATCTGTTGTCTGAAGCTATGCTGTGCAAAATATTCCTGCTGCGTTTTAGTTTTATCTTTGTTTTGATTCTGAAATATATAGAATATACTTTATTGATTGCTCCTCTTTCTCCCAACTAGACTGAAGGAGAAGATGAGCTTAAAAAACGCCAGTTGATGGAATTGGCTATTATCAATGGAACATACAGAGATAGCACAGGAAAGAATAATAGTAAGTTTTTAGTACTTTTAAACCATTAATTTCTAGCAAACAAAGCACAGAGACATTTTTGTTCTTGTTATGTTACATTATTACTGATTATTGAGCATTATATTAAGTTCTTTTAAGGTATTCAATATATTGACTTAAGATATATGTATGTATATAAGCATTAAATATTTCCATGCCTGTTTTGTTTAATAATTGCAAAATAATATTGCATATGTGTATTTGCTTGCCATTTTATTCATGAAGCTTCATATTTCCCAAAATGCATTAACCCAGTCACTCAAAAGTTTGATGAGGATATGCAGTGTTTGATAGAACACAAAACGTGAAGTAGAACAAAGTAGTTTGTGCTAAGTGTAAAGTAGCGTTACACATGTCCATTGTTTTCAGGAAGTGTACCATTGAAAGACTACTATCTTAAATTAAGCAAACTTTTAAATTCCATTATTTAAAACAAATGTTATAGGTGCAATCAAATATTTTGTTAGTGTAATTTTTTCATTTTTTTTTACCATTGCATAATCTGGCAAAGTATTGAATACCTCGTATGATCATAGTTTGCAGTTTCTGTATCAATTTACTTTTCATTATTTCTTTTAAAATTATAAGAGTTATTATTATTAATCATTTAAAATATTTCAGTAATCTCTCGACTGCATTGTAATTGATTTTAATAAAGTGTTTTGTCACCATTTAAACTGTTTTATATTTTTAAAAATATACACATTTTTTTAAAAGAAAATTTTGGTGTACCTTATGACAATCTAACCTGAGAATACATACAAGGCTCTAGAATCTTTTCACCCTGTTCAAGTTATCTAAATGCACCAAACTGCCCATGGATATCCAATTCCACCAGTTACTCCTACTTGTTGATTTCTTGCGAAACCAGCCTATTTAATTTGAAGCTGAAGCGCTTAGTTTATTGTAGGGTAAAATGTATGGCAATGTTACTCATTTTCTTAATTTATATGAAATTTTTCACTATTATCTAAATGCAACATATACATATTTGACGGAAATTAAAAAAACAAATCGATATTTGAAACAAAAGGGATGTAATATATTTTTGCATTTTGGGATTAAATGTTTTCCTCTAATCCATTCACTTAACGGCAGAAGTGCAAGATACTTGCTTTTGAATAAAATTTCAGTTTCACATTTTATTTGTTAATGTGAATTTATGTCATTCATATTTTGTTTAGATATATTTTTAAAATTTTTGTGTAGTTTTTATGAAATCATCTCTTAATTATTTTGAGAAATTATTTTTGTGAGTAAAAAAAAAATAATTTTGGACGTCTGTAGATTTTTTGGATTTTGCTCAGATCAAGTATATTTTAAGTGTAATGTGTTTGATTTTAATTTATTTCCTGTATGCCTTTGTACTTAATTTCATTGTAAACTGAACACTAATTTTTTCTTCTTTAAATTGCAGACATATACATGTTTTTGACAGAACCAGAGGCAACTAGACTACTGGCTCCTCCCATGACTGCTATTTCTAATCCTCTTCGTACTGCAGGTGCTCCATTGGGTGCCCCACTTATACTTTCATCCCGTATCCCAGTTCCCACAACAGCTACTCTTTTGAATGGTAACGCACCACCACCCCTTCTGTCGCCTGCTGATGCCGGCCTTCTCTATGCCACATATGGAGATTACCAGCATTATGCTGCCCTAACATCGCCTCTGCTTGCAGAGTACCCTCATGCAGAGCATTCAACTACTGGTGCGTTGTTTGGACGCTAGTTATATCCTATGTTTGATAGCGGTGTTTTACGTCCATTTATGTTCATTCCTCGTTGGTTTTTCTGCCATTAATGGGTGTGTCCGGTTAGTCAATATTGTGTTGTCACAATTCAAAAGGAAGGTGAAAGTGCCCCTAGTGTATAGCTGGGGAGGCATACTCAGTCTCTTTCATTTCTGTGATACATCATAAATTTTTTCAGTTTGCTAATTTATTGATTTATATTGTTGCTATTTATTTGATTTTCTGAAATGAAAATATAAAATGTTCGATATCCCACCCTATATTCTTAAAAAGTCTGATTTTTTTTAAGATGTATTTTTATTCATTATTTGATATGCAAATATTAAGTTTGATTTGTTTCAATGTAGCGTTATGGACTCAGGGAATTGCGCTGTAAATATGTTTTCAAATTTAAAGAATGCATTTTTAAGAATTATTGTGATTACAGTAGGGCATTCTAATTGAAAATCACAGCTTATTTTTTGTAGTGTTATAAATTATTCATCAGACAGTTTTAATTGATGAATTTAAATACATTAGCAAACTTATATGCTGGCATATTTTAAATGCCCCTGATTTCTATTCAGTTATATTTGGCAGACTCATCGCTGTAATATAAATTTCAGTAAATGAATTGCCTAGAATTATTGAAATCAGTAAGTATTTTAAAATGAAATTCTATATGAAAGAAAATTTTAGAATTTATCTAGTTTTTGAAGAATAATTGTTGAGATTTTAATTTGAGCTTGGATTTTTTAATCAGAATTTTGTTTCTAAAATTAAATCTTTTCCAGATTTTAAATGTTATGTATTTGTTGAATAGGTATATATTATTCGTTAATGGCATTCCATTGGAGGGGTTGCCTTAAAGTCTAAATCTGTAAATTAAACTGATACATGTTGTCAATTAGTAGTTTAAATATATGTTAGAATTATTAAATTTAAATTATGGGGCCAAACAAATTTAGGTGTATGATAGTCAAATATCTGAATTGTAAATATTGAAATATTTATATACTGGCAAAAATGTGCTACTATGATTATGTGTATGTTGATATTTATATATATTGATTTTTATAACTTTGATGTATATATAACTCAGTGTGTTATTTCTTGAGGTATTTAAAATGTAAATAGATTTTATTCCCTTCTCAGGCATATATGTGCTTATTTAATATATATTAGATATATAGATTTTTAACTTAAAACGTATGCTATATTAACTTATTACCCATAATTTTTCCTAATGCTTTATTGCATCTGCAGAATGCTGAGTCTCTTTTTATAATGCTGATATATGTATTTCTCATTCCAGTAAGTACATTATATGGGTCCATTGCAGTAGCTACTAATATGATAGTTTTAGAAATTAATCCTGTTAATTTTAGTTAATAATTCATTTTTTCCTGAATTTTATTGAGTAGCTTTTTCAATATATGAAAACTTTGGTTGTTTGTACACATAAATTGTTTTTGTTTTGTACTAATCTCTTACTCATACACAGGTGCTGTTAAGCAAAGGAGAAATTTGGGTTTGCGAGAGCACCCTTATCAACGATCTGGGTCACTTACTTAAGTGTTCAAGGTTAGTTTAACAAAAAAATGATTTTTGTTTCAATTTCAGTGCTTTGTTTCACTCTAGTCTAAGATCTTCAGGTGTGTAATACTGAAGATAATTGAAGAAAAAGCTGCAGTTAAAAGAATGTTTTTAAATCTGTATATGAAATATAAATGTCACTGCATTCATGTGTACAAAACATGAAAATTTAACACTCTTACAAATGTACTTTTAAGGCAGTTCCAGTGAAAAGAATTTTTACTGCATTGTCTGAAGTGGTCCCCATTTTTTTATATTAAGCACTTATATCCAAACTTACTAAAATTTTCATAAACGTGACCATAAAAATGATTTTAAAAGCTTAATCTCTGAATTTCTACCAATAGCATTTTTTCTAATATGAAATTCATATTTTTACCTTCAGAAACACAAATTAATGTTTTTTATATACTGCTTAGCTAATAACATTTTTCAGATGTCCTCTCATAGTTGATACTAACCTAACATTTTTTTTTTTCTTTTCCGCATTTAACCCTTCAGCCTTTGAAACTCCACACCACATCACCACCTGAACTGCAAGAGTACTAACCCACCCACCTGTGAAAATACCTCCTGACGATGCAGGTCTCGATCAAGCTTCTATCGCACGGTCCTATTCGGTCACGAAGGACGGTCCATACTTACTTGTAGTGCACTCTGTCCCTATCTTGTTGCCTTGCAAGGATAATCAACTAACCAACTTTCCTGCCGTGATCAATATTTCACAGAACCAAGTGAATAACCAGGTGATTTGAAGAACAAAGTTTGCTAATTATTACTTAACATCTAATGCTGCTCTCTGTTAGTGTCTGTTCTTCTGGCCTTGTTCTTTTTCGAGTGTCACATCTGCATGGAGGATATTTTTTTTAACTTGTTCTGTTAAAACATTTTTGCTAGTAATGAAAGGCATTACAGAAATTCCTTCCAAAATTGATCTCTTTAGTGTTCAGGTAAAGGTTCTGTGTAAAACAAATTAATCCAAATTTATTAAATGTTTTTCAAATGCACTAATTTGACAAACATGCTAAGCTTAATAGTCATTTAAAATGCATTTTATTTCATTGAAATTTCCAGTTTATATTATACGTTTTATTAAATGCATACAATTTTTGTCCCATAGAATATTATCTGGCTGGAAGGAATTTTCGAAATGCCTTTCTGCAGGCAGATTTGTATAGATGTGCAGCTGTTCATTTTAATGTTTCTAAGGCCATTGCCTACTTAGTTTTTGAGGGGAAAGAAAACATTCCATGTCCTTAGTGCTGCCAAAAATAATTGTCTTAAGTTAATACCAAGATTCATAAAAAAGTGCAACTTAATAGACTTTGAGCATTTAAACGAAATGTTTGATATTTTGTGTTTTTGCGTGTGAAATTTAAAGTTTCTATATTTTTGCTTAATTTTGCTTCTTTTGCTGTGAAAAATATTTACTTAAAATATGTAAAGATTTCCTTAAGTTACGTGCTGTTCAGAAATATTAACTGAGTTTTAATTGAATATAAATTATTCTGAAGAAGAGAAAAAACAAAACTTTTGCTGTACCTGAATTTAAATCATGTGGGTTAGGAAATGTTGTGTGTGGATAAAGAGCAGCTGTGTACTTAGATCACATGTGCATTTACTACTTAATATTGTACATTTTTTTATTGTTTTGTAAAGTTGCTTAATATGAAGTATATGTTTTAGTAATATACTTAAGTTCTTAAAATGATGTTCATCAAATAATTTGTTGCATCTGGAATTTTATTTTTTTGAAATAAGGGGAAAGATTTTATTTTTATTCACTTATTCAGATTGTGGTGCTTCAGTTTCTAATGCGTAATAATTAATGCACTGTTTTATTCTTGTAATTTGAGAAATTATGGCATAAAATGTGCAATATTTGCCTCTTAAATCTGAAATTGTCATAATAGTGAATATACTGATCTACATACGTAATGACCAGCAATCCATTTAACATAATTAGATGTGTTCACATATCGTGCCTTCTTTATATATAAATTTTTTATTTGTTTGGCCTAGAATTACAGACTGTTAAGTACACAACCTTATGTGTGTGAGAATCTCGATTTGATCTTTCTCTTTTATTGTACTTAATTATTGTTTATTTTTCTTCAATGTCAAAGAACATTTTGTGGTTGTGGTGATGTTTGACATTTTTCTGTCATTTTTCATTTATTGTAAGTGCCAAAAGATATTCATAAATTTAAGGTTATTCATATTGTTTATATTTTAATGGCCATAATACAGAAATGTGTTTTCAAAATAAGTTTCATTTTCTGCTGGTTAAAAAGATGGGATTTAGCAACCTAAGTTTAAGATGAGATTTAACAAAAGTTTGGACACAAAATTTTAACGTTTGATCCAAAAAGAAATAATTTTGCAGTTAATACATTTTAATACTATTGAAATTTTTAATGGTGTATTTAAAAAATTAATCTATTTGATTAAAATTTATGAATGTATTTTCAAATCTGTTGAGAAATAAAACTGAATTATTTTTTAATTTTCCATATATATATATATATGCATAGATAGAGAAAACATTTTTAGGTAATTATGGCCATTCAGTCTGAACCATGCTATTGGATTGTATGTTACATTGTGGGTTGCTCTCAAATTGTGACATTTGGACATTTTAGAATCTCATTTAAATGCATGCATTTAGCATGCTTATTTATGGTGCTATAAGTGCCTTATCGCCATATACTGTGACATTTTGTATTGTATAGTTTCTAAAGAATTTTTATAATTGGCATTTTTCATTGACGGGTGTTGGCCTCTATGTGCTCATAAGAGCAAGATGCTCTTCATTCGTTACATTATGCAGATCCACAATTGATATGTTATATTGGAATTTATCTTGAAAGTAGTTACACTACTGTTGTTAAATGTTTTATGTACTTAAACTGTTTTCATAGCAATAAAGATCAGTTTCTGTAATGTGGCACTATTTATTACATTACATATGCTTTTATTTGTTAGAAGATATTTTTAGGAAAATTATTTACTTCTCTGAATTTTTAGATTGGGGGGGATACAAAATATTTTATAGGTGTTGGAAGAACTCTCTTGCAACATATTAACAAATTTTTACATGAGTTATAGAAATTAGGATGTCATGACAGTTGCCTCCATCAGATCTCCAGGTAAGCAGTTGAATAGGAAAACACATGTACAAGCTGTCAGATGAGATTTTTGGCAGCGAATAGTAAAACAATATCTACTAATAAAATATATAGCTACATATGAAAAAGTGAAGAATACCACCAGCAGAGCCATAAGGGTTAAAAATTTAGTGAATCCTCTCTAAAGTGATCAATTATGGTTCTAGATGATTTTAATTGTCATTAGAGGTGATGAAATTTTCATGATGTTGAGACTGCAGAATTTGCTTTTTCCTAATCGATTATCACCAGAATAACCTTCTCTTCATCCTAGGCTATTCCAGAAGCAGCTTTCTGACTTTATTATAAAAAGAATAGTACCTCGTAAAAAAATATGCATTGTACCCATAATGTGTAGTATCTTCCTTTTTTTTATGAAATTTACCATTATGTGTAATAGCTGCCTTTTTTTCCTAATTTAATTAAGAAGTCTTTAATGGTTAAATTCGGAAATTCGTAGATATTCTATGTGTGCATCATAATTAGATGGCGCATACTTAGCTGGTTGTTAATTTATTGCCATACCAATTTTAAAGCTTGTAAATAAAGTGCAGAACTAATGGCTCTGGAGTAGTGTTTCTGTTCATTTAAAAGTCATAAGAAAGGGACTTTTTGATGTAGCCTCAAAGAAATAAGAAGTTAGTTTCAGCCTGAGATGGTCATGTTATGAGTAACATATTGAGTGACCACAAGCCATGCAATCCATCTTTTGAGTAAAATTCTCTTAGAGGTATTCTTTCACGTTGACATGCTAGTTAGTGTGGAGGTGCTTCACCTAATTGAAGAAAGAAATTGACATACCAGAGTTGATGTGCTGCATCTAAATGAAGAAGAATGTTAAAGTTTTATTATGCATAGCACTGTTATTCTGAATTTTTCATTTCTCCCAGATTAAATATCTTGCTTCTTTACTTTTCTAAACAGATCAGATGCTGCTCTATTGGTGGCTTTGGGATAAGAAGCAAAATCATAATTTTCAAAACAATCAGTATGACACAAAAATCAAAATTTTGTCTGGAATTAAATTTAGTTAGCTGCTTTAGCAAAATTTTCCAAACGTTGGCTGCTGAATCTGAAGTTTAGGACTCGTCTTTATAGTTTATTTCCTTGGAGTTTGTTGGAAGAACTCGGAACATGTTTAATATGTTCTTCATATGTGTGGACTTTTCACCTCGAACAGCTTTAAATTTATATTACGTAATAAATTCTGTTTTATTGAATTCAAAATACAAAACTTAACTTCTACATTTGCAATCATGTTGCAAGTCGTGATCCCCTACATCATTGTATGGAATGATGCCGAAAAATTTCATACCTGCATGTACATTACTCCCTTAAGTTTTCTTTTACTGTACATTTTCATAAATTATTGAAACTACATACTTGTTTCATAAGTTGAAGTTTTAGGTTGACGTCCCATTGGTCTGTTTGGGAGTCTGAGAATTCAGGTTAGTCTTTGTAAAGATTCCTCAACTTTTTAACAGTTTATCGATGAGATCGCTAGGGACTAGTCATTTGTTTAAGCATCTGTTGATGATTTATTTGTGGTTTCTAATAATGAACATGAGCATTTAAACCTGTTATTTTCCAAACTTCAGAAACATGGTGTGTGTATAAATGGGGACAAATGCCAATATGATCAATCTATCATAGACTTCTTAGGATTTAAGTTATCTGGGGAGTTGAAACCCTCTCTGATCATGTAAAATATATCCTAGATTTTCCTCAACTGGAGATCCTTGTACAATTACACAGATTCTTGGGTTTATTTAATTTTTGTAGATGCTGTATTCCTAAAACTGCTCATATTTTAGCACCCTTGGTCAAATTCCTCGAAGGTGATACAAATAAAAAGACATCCTTGTTCCAAAGCTTCTACCAAGCGATTACAATGGGGCAAAGAAGCAACTAAGGAAGCTATTGCTAAGAGCAATGGCAGTCCATGCTCAGTGCACAATTAAGTCTGTGGGTTCTTGCAACTTGTTAAACAACAGTGGGAACCTATAGCCTTCTATTCAGCTAAACTAAGTAAATGTGGAAGAAATTGGTCCACTTTCTATGCATTCTTCAGTCAAAAAATTTAAGCCCATGATTTTGAAGGGAATAATTTTGTCATCTGTACTGATCAGAAACCCCTTAAATTTGCATCTCAGCAACATCCTGACAAATGCAGTCATTGCCAAATACGCTATTTGGATTTCATTTCCCATTCGTATTGAATATACTAAAGGCTCTAATAACATTGTCGACGATGCAGTATCCTGAATTGAAAATGATATTTCATCTAATGTGCTCGATTAAAAAAAAAAAAAAAAATATTGCTGGTGCTCAAATGAACAGTGAAGAACTTCAACAACCTTTAAGCTTCAATACCTCCTCTTTATGATTAGAAAAGCATTATTTCCGCATAAGTGTATTCGTCTATATTGCGACAAGTCCCTTGAACATCCCTATCCTTTTGTTGGCACATTTGCATATTACCTCCAGTCAAATTGAATTATCAAATGCTTTCATCAGCATCTTAAAACAGGCCTTAAAGTACATAATACAACACAATAGACAGAAACTCTCGCACTTGTTCTCTTAGGAATACACTCAGCCATTAAGAAAGATGTCAAAGCAACTTCGGCTCAACTTGTTTATAGCACATTAAGATTACCATCCGGTCTAGTAACCAATGGCATATACCAAACTTTAAATTCTGCATATGTAAACAGTTTACTTCAAGCAATGAGGTCTCTAAATCCTATTTCTACTGCCCTACACAGTAGTCGAAATTTTCATCAGTCTCTCATTAAAAACTTGCTCTTATATATTTTTAAGATCTGGCAGAGTTGAACTTCCATTGACATCATTTTTATACTGGACCTCACTTAGTCATTGACAGAAATGATAATTTTATTTATGTGAATAGAAAACGTATTACTGTTTCTATTGATCGCATGAAACCTGCTTACCACCTGCCAGATAACATGACTCAGTTCTCGTCTTTATCTCTTCTGGTTCTACCACTAAGAGTGAGTGCAAGGTCTGATTTCCCTAACATTTTGTCACTAAATTTTTTGAGCAGAAACTTAAACTATATTTTATGTTTTGTGCTATACATCTGTGACCATGCATATAATCATATCACAATGGGAGTGAACTTCAATTGAATTTATTTTTCTTGAAACTGAGAGAAATCTCACAGAAAACACTGTAATATTGAATAGAATAAAATAAAAGTACAGATGAAAATATATATAAGTCGCAGAAAAATTTTCATAGAATTTGGTTTCGAACTTCCAACCTCATAAGTAGTCAGTAGTGATGACTTATTCCATTCGGCTATTGTACGCCACTCTGTAGCATTTTAGTAAAGTGAACGAGAGTAAAAAGTAAAAATTTTAGTAAAGCGAACGAGAGATGCATCAGCAAGAAGCATATATCATGTATGTTTTTATGCCACAAATGTGTCTTCCCTTAAAGCTTTTTATGGCAGATCTTCTGGGAGAAACAGGCTGCTGTAGTAGTCCCAGTGTAAATTATATTTTTATAAGGAATACTGTTCCACGCTGCATTAAAATACTGGTGTCGGATCAACAAATGTCATCCTTCATATTAAAGAGATTAGGGTCATCATTGTTTTCCCATCTAATTCTTGCAACTGTTCCTTCCATCTCAGTCAGAATATTTCTGTCTATTTACACTGGCTTAACATTTGCAGTGCTACTTAATGTCAGTGGCGAGAGCCCAGTACTAATCGGTAAGCGATAGGCATGCACTTGGTCCACACAGAGTCTCCTTTCCTCTGCCCAATCAAAGCTGCAGTCAATTGTTAATTGTAATCCTTATTCCTTCTTTTTCCATTTAAGTGGCATTATTGTGCATGAAAAAAAATAAATGTTGTTTAATTTTTCAACTTGACTTTTGTGAATTAATATAGTCCACAACTACCAATTGCTACCAACAGCAACATTTAAAGCTTTCTCTATCAGAACATTACCACCAAAGGAATATACTGAAAATCCTTCTTTTCACAGTTTTTCCCAAAACATCTTTGCAGGTAAAACTGCACATCGAATCGTTATCACACAGTAGTCTTAACTTTCCCTTAAGTGTTCATTATTATGAATGTATGTCAAAGCTGTCTGAAGGTATATTCTACTGGATTTATACTAATTTTTTGTTTGACAGTGAGAACTTAACATCATCAGATTCTTCACAAACAGTGGTGTTATTCAATAATGTTGTCCATTTCTCTCCTGTAATGAAATTAAAAATTGTTTGTTTTTGAGTGTATATAATAACAGAAGGTTCACTTTTCTTTAAAGTTACAATCATTGAAGCAAACAAAGCATCTCCCTTGCTTCTTTAATAAATCTTTTACTATCATAATTTTTACTAATACTCCCACATGTCCCTAAGTCATGGTCCTTGTTTAAAAAATATGCACTTCGCTAGCTGGCAACTCTTGGGCACTATGTATGTTTTGAAAGTAATGCCGTTTTTATTTCGGGGTACACTATATCTATTCTTTTTTTTTTTCCTATTGGACGACGGACATAGCTCACGCTCTGCTTATTTCATCCTAAAAAAAAAAAAAAAAAAAAAAAAAAAAAAAAAAAATCTAGTAAACCTTTTAGATATATTTAAGCTATTAAATTCTAACATAAGATTTGCTGGTATGATTTTCAAACGAATTTGAATCCATTCGCTTCTAAATCCAACAATGTCCCTGGAATTCTTAAGGTGATGGATACTTAAAGTCTTAAATGAGAATTAATTAGAAGCTTG